TAATCCTCATCGATTATCACCCATCCTCCTCCGTCCTGCCCCGCCTCACCGGCGGCGGCGGCCTCGGCGGGCTGGACGGCCTCCTCCGCCTGCTCGCCCGCCTCGCCCGGCCCGGCCTCCTCCTCCTCGCCTGGCTCGACGGCCTGCTGCTGTCCGCCAGACGTGACGGTGATGGAGAGGCCCTGCGCCGACGCGCCGACGACGGCCGACAGCGCGTCCTCCGCCGCCGCCCCCTCGCCCTCCGCCGCCCCCCCGCCCTTGAGCAGGAAGCGGCCGCGCCTCGCGTCGTACGACCCGAAGAGCGAAGCGGTGAGCGGGTGCTGCAGCGGCTCCGGCGGCGTGTCGAGCAGCAGCAGCTCCTGCGGCACATATCCGATCCCGTCGCCGGGCCTGTGCGGGGGGTGGGGTGGGGTGGGGTGGGGTGGGGTGGGGTGGGGTGGGGTGGGGTGGGGGTGGTGGTGGGGTGGGTGGGTGGGGGGGGGGGACTTGTCGGGCGAGGTGAGGGCTGCGGTGAGCGGCTGGTGGGAGGGCGCGTGCTGGTGCGAAGCGCGTGCGAAGGCGCGTGCGAGGGGCGGTGGGAGGGCGGGAGAGCGGCGGTGCGGTCGGCGCCGGTCACGCGTGTCTGCGAGGACGTGGTAGAAGGGCTGCGTCCTCCCGTGCTTGAGCTGGCCCACGTGCATCGCACTCACCCACGCCTCCGATTGGCGGCACTCGCGGTCCACCCCGACGATGACGCCGCGGTAGTTTTGCCGCCGGTGGAGGAAGCACTGCCCCACGCCTGCAAATGAAAGGAGGCGGCCGCGCGTGAGGAGGACGCCGCGCGGAGCCGGCGAGCGACGCACTGCCCCGCGCCGTACGCGACGTCGTTCGGCGAGGCGGCGGCGAGGACGCCGGCGGCCGCGGCGGCGACGGCAGAGAGCGGAGAAAGTGCCGCGCCTGCCGCGCCTGCCGCGCCGGCGCTCTGCAGTGCCGCCTGCGCGCGAATCATCGAGTACTGTGCCTCGGCTGAATGGCTGCTAGATCGCTGTAGCTCAACGCATCTCGGCTGCATCTCGGCCGCATCTCGGCTGCATCTCGGCCGCATCTCGGCCGCATCTCGGCTGGATCGCGCCTGCGCGCTGTCAATCGCCGCCTCGCCCGCCGCAGTGGGCGGCGGCTTGTCGCGCTTCGGCGCAGCGGGCAGCGGGGTTCCGTCCTCGCCTGTCGGGGAAGGTTCCGAGAACGTTCGTGGGCAGGGGCGTGGCAGTCGCCGCACGCCGTCCTCGCAAGCGGCTCTACCTCGCGACGAACCGCGACGAACCGCGGCGCATCTCGGCGCATCTCGGCGCATCTCGGCGCATCTCGGCGCATCTCGGCGCATCTCGGCGCATCTCGGCTGGCCCTCGCGACGAACCGCGACCGAACCGCGACGAACCGCGGCGCATCTCGGCGCATCTCGGCGCATCTCGGCGCATCTCGGCGCATCTCGGCTGGCCCTCGCCGAGCGGCTCGCACTTGACGGGCAGCGAGGTCTCTTTCGCCCGCTCCGCCTCGAATGCCGGGTGGCGGCAGAGGCGGTCGGTGCGGACGTGAAAGACATACGCGCATGTCGAGACCTCCTCGATGAGAGAGATCTGCAGCCCCTCGCCGGGACCGCACGAGAGGCGCACCTGCAGGAGGGAGAGACGAAATCAGAGACGAAATCAGAGACGGCGCAGAGACGGCGAAGAGACGGCTCAGAGACGGGACTGCACACCTCGACCTCGCGCGGCTTTCCCGTCTTGTCGCAGAGCGTGCCGTTGCCGTACCGCATCTTGAAGTACGCGCGCTTGTTCGCCGTCTCGGACACAATCTCGCCGCGCAGCTCCGCCCGCAGCGTCTCCGCAACGCTCGGCTCCGCGCCGCCCTCCGCTGGCGCCTCGGGCTGCGGCTTCTTCCAGTACGTCCCGAGGATGTACTCCTGCGGGCGAAGGGCGGCGGCGGCCATCGGAGCTGGCGAGGGCGGCGGCAGCGAAGGTGGAGGCGGCGAGGGACGTGGCGGCAAGGGCGCGGGTGGGAACGAGGGCGGCGGCGGCGAGGGAGGCGGCGGCGGGCGCGACGGCTCAAGCCTGTGTGATCTGCCCCGGCCCTGTAGGGGTCGGCTTGCCGTCGGCGCCCTTGACCATGGCCTGCTTCTCCTGGTGGTACTGGCGGATGCGGCGCGACAGGCACACCTCGTACGTCCACCACCCCTCCGGCTTGAGGTAGCACTGCCCCACCAGCGGGCCGAGGAACTCGTCGACTGGCTGCGCCGGCGGCGCCGCGCCGGCGTCCGGCTTGCTCTCGTTGCTGGGCGGCTGCGGAAGGTGGCAGCGGTACTTCTTGCCGCCCTTCTTGGTCATCACCACGGTCCGCAGCCCGGCCGGCTCGGCGCCCTTTGGGTAGATGGCGCCCGTCATGAGCTGCACCGAATAGGCGGCACTCCGGTCCGTCGTGGAGATGGGCCGGCCGGCGGCCGGGAGGAGGGCAGCCGCCGCGAGAGCCGCGAGGAGCGGGCGGGCCGCGGCGGGACGAGGCGCGACCATGTCGATGCAAGTCTCCCCGGCGCGTTTTGTGCAAAATAAAAACACGCGAACAAGTGCTCCAAGTCCCGCCGTGTTGTCTAAACTATTGTTTTCTTCAAGTAAGCGGGTCACTGATCCTCCATCCACCAGATCCGACTTTCGACAGCGCACGGAGTCTCCGACAGCCATCCCACTGCTGCGAGCCATCCGGCTCAGCGAGCGGCCCACTCCTTGATTGTACAGCCAATGGTCATAGTAGTTATCCCCTTGCACGCTGCTGAAGAAGCCAGTGGTCCGCCAATAGTCAGAAAATCTCGCAGCGCCTCATCGACGGCCTTGAGCAGCGCCAGGGCCGTAAAGCCAAGGTCGTCGAGCTGACCCTGAATAAAAAATGCGCTCGTGCCGGTGATGGCGTGTGAGAGTGCGTGTCGTGTTCATGTCTGGTGTTCATTATAGCTCCGAGTAGAGGGGGCGGTCTGCTGCTAGGGGAAACGTCGGTAAGCACACACGACACGAGACTATACCTAAGGTGCTTACCGAGGCCCTGGAGAAGACAGGTAGCTCGCTCTGTCGCTCTGTGCGCCGTCAAGAATGTGTCCCCGTGTTTGGAGAGGACCTCCAATGAGGACCTCACATCGTTCTGGTGAGGACCTCGCTCCCCCTTCAGGACCTCTCTCCATTCAAAGTTACGGACTCCGCCTTGCTGCCTCGTCTATCGCACTGTCTCGCGACGTGCCGCTCGAGATGTGTAGGAGAGCAGGGCACAGTACCGTCCTTACTCTGATCGGAGTTATTGCTCATCAGCAGTCTCACGGGAGAGGTCCTCACGGGAGAGGTCCTCACGGGAGGTCCTCACACACGGGGACAACAAAGGCAGTCCTGATCAAACTCGATGGATAAAAGCTCGGTGGCCTCGTACAAGCGCAGCTAGTGCGACCTCTTGAGCGGTAGAGCGGCAACCGACGACTGTGCTCGTCTTGACTGCTCGTCTGGGTGGGAAGGCTGGGCCTGCCTGGCTGGTGCGGAATCTCAACACTGTTTGTCAATTGAATCAGTAAGAAGGGGCGATTTATGTGCACGAGGCGACGGCTACCGAGAGAACCGAACAACAAATCTAAAACCCACTAGAAGCGGTTTCTTTTGTCCTTGCTCCTCAAGGCCGCGTGGACAGCCGGGTGATGCGAGCAAAGCTGCCCGTGCGCCAGGAAACAAAGAAAAACACAAGCCCTCATCGAGTGAGTACGCACTATACACCCACACGACCATATGGAAACAGTGAATCAATAAGTAGGGATCAAAGCGTCATTTGTCAAGTCATCGGTCGCAGTGTCGTTTGCGGCCCGAAGTGCAGTGTCCGTGTCATCCGTGTCACCAGTGAATGTCGACACAGCACGTCACCGTCGAGCTCAACATCCATGACGTCCGCATCCGCTGTGGCGCAGCGGGCGTGATTGACGAGCTCATTGCGTTGGATACCCACACTGACGACACACAGTCCGTCTTTGGCTACATCATGACGTCCGAGCAAGTCAATCGCGTGACCGCTATGGTGCAAGAGCTGGAGAGACGCGGTGTCAAACGCACCGCGGACGGCTCCTTTCCTGCGGAAGATCGCAAGCTCTGGACACGTTGTCGGGACGGGCGTTGCCTGCTTGCAAGCGCATCTGCGTGGAGGGAGGTGACGACAATCGCCAAGGAAGGCATCACCAGCCTTGAACATGTCATGGACGCGCTTGGTGAGGCTGGGTTCGAGTTGGTGTCATCGCACGCACGTGTCACCTATGGTGTCGACACCGAGAAGTACATCTTTCGTCGCGCAGCATGATAACGCTGGGCCGTGGAGCGCGCCTCGAAAGTGGGCGGTACGCCAGTTCAATTTCTCGGCGCACGTCTCTGCCCAATCCAGGCGTGGGAAAACACGTCTGGGTGCTTCTCGCTTGCGAACGCGGCAAGCTGGAAGGCAGTCGGCCCGCGCGGTGGACGCGACCCCCCCACGAGCACGACTGCCTCTTGATGCCTAAAAGCTAAATTTCTAAGATGTAAGAATAAATAAATAAATTAAAGGGACACCTCTACTAGGAGATGGGTAAAAAGGAACAGGTCCCCGCCCTTGCGATCTTTGTGCAGGGTTCTTTGTGGGTGTGGTCGGCGACTAGCCGGGGTCGTCCTCCCGATGGGGGACTAGCACACTAGCCGTCTTCCACATGGTCCCTCGGGTCCCTGCTGCTCCTAATCTCTTCGTACATCCTCCTGCTGATCTCCGCAACGTCCTGCTCCCTCCCTCGTCTCGCCCTGCGCGACTGCTCCGCCTCACCGTCGTCTGCCCTGCGTCGTCTGGCGACGGGTCCTCCATAGTCGGTTAAAAGATGTAAGAAAGGGTGCGTGGTCTCTTTATTTATTTTATCAAGCTCGAAATTTGGCGTAGGGACCTGGCTCGCGGCAGCGAGGTGGCATGCACACGGCTACACGCTAATAGGGTCATGCGGGCAAGACTTGGCCAAAAGTGAGGAGAGGGTTGTCGTTGTCGCCAGGAGGGCCTTCCTCGATGCCCTGCCCCAGCGCGGCGAGGCATCCCACATTGTCGGCTCCAAAGGAATAAAAAGTGTCATCTTGGCATGCGATGGTGAAGAGGCCGATCTCGCTGCACGCGGCGGCTCGCGCTCGATTCACTCCATCAAGCTTGAGAGGCTCACATATGATCTCTCCGAGCCCAACATACAGGTCGAGCCGAGCGTCGAGGAAGGGAAGGCTGGGAGCTGACTCTGAACCATAACCAGGCCAGTATCGAACAAAGTACGCGTCGCCCGTCTCCGAGAGCAGAATTTCTCCACTCGGAGGACAACTCGATATGGCACAGATGCCAGGCAAATCGATCTTAGCAAGGAAGGGCGTAACTGCGTCTGGCCGTTGCAAATCCTGAAAGCTCGTTCCGCGCTCACGATGCACAACTCTGAACGCTTCTCCACTTGTCGCCAGAAAGAGAGCCGCTCACAGCACAGACCGAGACACCAGGTGGTAGCCCCTTTATCGGTGCAGGCAAATGTTGTACGCCCGCCGAAGCTGAAATCCCAGGCAGCTCCCGATTCTCGGGCAGGCCCCACACGAAACAAGCGCCGCTCGTAGTCCACGCCGCGGCCGTGCAAGGGGCCATAGCCGCGCCGACGATTCTGTGCTCGTCCAACGCTGACACGCGCTGTGGGACCGAGACAAAGCGAAAGGGGTCCGCGTCAACATAGCCTGGTGCCTGCTGAACAGCCTGCTCGGAGAGCCCGAGCTGCCCAAACCCGGCATCTCCCCATGAATAGAGGACGCCATCGTTGGTCAAGGCGAGGCTGGTGCCCTCACACGCCGATACCAGGGCTACATTGGAGAGGGCCTCCACCTTGCGCGGCTCAATGACCCAATCGCCGTCGACTTCACCCATTCCCAACCTGCCATGGCTGGGCTCGCCCCAGGCGTACACCTCGCCGTTTGCCGATACGGCCAGAGTGTGCGAGTGTGCGGCCGCGACGCAGCGGATGGACACTGCTCCGAGGTCGATTTGCCGAGGCAAGCCGAACTTTGCCTCCGACCCTTGACCCAAGATACAATAGGGTGGCTCCTCGTCTTCAGGGCCCCCGAGCGACTGCTGGCCCGACAAACGGAGCTGCCCATTGGATACAAAAACGCAGTGGTACCACGCAGCAGCGACCGCGCAGCGATGCCTTCCAAATCGTTGGCGACGCTCCTCCCACAAAAGAGCCTGGATCCCGAAATTGCCTGCAGCACCTCCGGCCCGGTCTCGCAGTGCCATCAGCGTGAGTTGCGCGAACGTAGTGCTCACACACGAACAGCGAGCGAGATCCTCCGAGTGAGGCAGCGACGCAAGCAGCCGCGCGAGCAGATCATTCGGCAAAGACAGCAGAGTCATGTCGCCCGTGACCAGTGGCGTAGTAGTCATGTCGCGGGAGGTGGCGGTGCGCTCGCTCTCCGCTTTGGCCGTGTGGGTTGCGAGCATGTGTGATTACCGGTACAGCCAGCAGGCAAGGTTCGGACTCTTTGGAGAGGTAAGGTATGGTGCCGCCTTGAGACCATACCCCCCCGCCTGCTAGCAGACCTGCTGGGGGTATGGTAGGGCTAGTCTTGGGCGGTCAGGACCATACCCCCCCCCCCACCCCTTTGGGCCGTGATGGTCTGCAGATGGTACCATGCCATACCCCGCAAAAAAAGAATCTTAAAACGCAAACCTCTCCCACAGCACACTGGCACGACAAGGGCGAAATCCCACAAAACCGCACACTAAAGAAAACGCACCTGAATGTATATATATGTCCTGCCTCAACACGCTGCCGATCCGGCGCCTCGCCGGTGCGCTCCGCGCCGTCAACATCGCGAACTGCCTCCTGCTGATCACTGCGGCGGCGCTCGGCTTCGGAAGCCTCTTGGGCGAGGCGGCCGGGGTTCAGCTCCAGGCCATGGCATCGACTGCGCTCGTCTCGGTCTACGTGCTGGGCTTTAGTGGGCTGCTGCTGTGCTACGAGCTGCGCCTGGGCGCCGAGCGTCTCTACGAGGAGTGCGGCTTCCTCTTCACCATGGGCGGCCGCTGCGCCTTTCTGCTGCTGACTGCGAACCTCGCCTGGGCGTGCGGGCCGTGGTGGCTGGTCGCCGCGCTCGTGACCAACGGCAACGCGGCGCTGCACGCGTACTTGCTGATCTCCCACCCGGCCTACACCTCGGGCGGCCTCAAGTGGGACAGCGTGGACGAGGTTGCCGCCGGCGGCGGCACATCCGCGCCGCGAGATCCGGGCGCCCTCGCGCAGAGCGCTGCCGGCGCGCAGAGTGTCTCCGGGTGGGGGTTTGCGCCGGCGCTCGGCGCGGAAGGCGCGCCGAGTGCCGCCCCGGCGCCGGCGCCCACGCGCTACTACGAGGACGACGAGATTTTGTGACCGCGGGTTGTGGTCGAGGTTGTGGGGACGCCGCATGGCGCTGCACTTCAAACTCGAAACTGTTTGGGTATCCGCGTCTCGCCCGCGACGCGCACGTTGGACGTGCACGTGTGCGTGCGCGACGTAGCAATAGTCATTTTAGTCATGCAGCAGTACCTTCGAAAACTCAATGCGGAATAGTGTGCTCTCACCGCCACCCACCCAAGCTGCAGAACATGTGCGGGCCAGCGGTAGCGCCTGACGCCTGTGTGACGCTCTCAAGGAGGAAGGAGTGAGCAGTGAGGCGCGGAGCGCCGTGCGCGGAGCGCGCCCCGAAGAAAATTTTGAGGGTTGTGGAGGGCTAGATGCGATTTCGATTAAGAGTTTGACTCACACGCTAGGAACCACTCGGCCCACCCACAGGCCCAATCTCAAGTGGCGGCGCTCCGCACCTACCCAGTGGCGCGCTCCGCGCGTTCTTTCCAGCGGCGCGCTCCGCGCGTGCTCTGCGGCAGTGCTACTGCATCTTCCGCAGCTCCAGCAGGTATCAGCAGTGAGTTCACCGCCAGTTATCTGCGCCTCCGTTCGTCGCTCTCGTGCTTGATCGTCAGGCCGTGCTCTCACGTCCGCCGGAGCTACCTCGGCTATCGGCACCATTTTACAAGTTTGACCGCCGACATGTCGCGGTCCGGCTCAGTCAAGGCAATGTCGCTCGGCGCTCGCTGGCTCCGTGGATGCTTGTGCTGCTGAGCAATCCAGGCGCACTTTGGCACCCGGCGGCAACGACTTGCGGCGTCAGCATTCGAACGGTTGCGTTGATTTGCTCTTGCTCCCCGCGGTATCTAGCCGGCGCGCTCCGCGCGGGTGTCCAGCTAGCGCGCTCCGCGCGTATGTTCAGGTAGCACCAGCGCGCTCCGCGCGCACCATATCTCAGTGCCTATGCTTATAGCCACTAAAAGCTCGTTTCTGCAGCTTGGCCACCCACGTGGATCGTGGTTGGTGGAGCGAGGGATGCGGATGAGAGTGTTTGGGAGAGGACACCGTGCACGGTGTTTCTTGTTAGACGGCAAGTGAAAAGTTCACATGAAAGTTCACCGGCAAGGTACCCGGAATTGCATATTCTACATCTAGTGCGTGCCCAGTCCCGCCTAGTGTTGTTTGAGCAAGTTTGTTGTAAAATCAGAAGATCGGCCCGCGAGGTGGGGGTATGAGACCGATCCATCGCAGTTCTCTTCCTCCCCATCCAAGCGTTTGCGCTTCGGCGGTTTGTGCATTGTGGTGAGAGAGATTTTAGCAATGTTGTTGTTGTATGTAGTGGTGCACCTCCGAGAAATCATCGGAGGTTAGTCGCTCCTCATCGCAAATCCTGTCAGCAGAATCCTCCTACGGGAATGTACGTCAGAGCCACATACACTGAGAGAGAGAGAGAGTACACTGAGAGAGAGAAGACCGAGGTCACAACTGAAAATTCTCAGCGTGACACAATCCCGAGCACTGGGGCGGCGCCCCTCCGCCGCCGCCTGCCGGCCAGCGCCCCGCCCTCCGACCGTGGCCGCTCGAACATGGGCGCTTCCGCGTCCAAACGGCTCGAAGCTTGGCGTCGCCACGGCGGCGGCGACTTTGAGTCGGTGCTGTCCAGCGGCGCATACGCGCTCGTCGACGCGCGGTGGATCGTCAAGTGCGCCAGGAAGGGCGGCGTCCTCAAGCACCGCCAGGCCCTAGGCAAAGAGGCCTTCATCTCGTCCGCGTCCCTCATCTGTCCTTGGGGCAGCCTGCCTGTCGTCGTGCTCTCCTGCCCGTGGCTGACCAAGGACCACCCAGACCCGGACGGGACACAGCTCCGCCGCGTCGCAAAGGCGCTCGAGTCCCTGCTGACTCACAGCCCATACAAGCGGCTCGCCGTCTTCTGGGACTACCTCTCGCTCCACCAGCACCCCGACCCCGCCAATGGCGGCATGCGCACAGAGGCGGAGGACGCGCTCTTCAAGCAGGGACTGGACTGCCTCGGCACGCTCTACTCCCACCGATACACAACTGTGCTGCGGCTGACCACCTTCCCGGACGGCCACAAGGCGGAGAACCAGCCCGAGGGGTCCAACGTGGCCGCATACTTCGACCGCGGCTGGTGCTTCACCGAGAGCTGCATGGCGAGCCTGACCAAGGACGACAAGAGATCGCTCGACCTCGGCAGGATGCGAGACGACACAGGATACGACTACCAGGCCCTCAAAGCCGTATGCGCTCAGGGCGGCTGCCGACGCCCGCCGCTGCTGCCGTCTCAGTTCGCGGCGGAGCTGGAGAGTAAGACCTTTGCGAACGGCACGGATGACATGCCGCTCGTGACGCGGCTGTACGAGGGCGCCTTCATGGAGCAGATTGGAAAGGCGACCATGCTGTGCTACAGCAGCCTCGGTTGGGGCGACGCGGAGGCGGCGCAGCTGGCAGAAGTGATCACGAGCGGTGCGGCGCCGATGCTCGAGGAGCTCCACCTCGACGGCAACGAGATTGGCGACGAGGGCTACAAGGCCCTGGCCGCCGCAATCCGCAAGGACGGGGCCGCCCCACGCTTGTCGTTGGTCTCTGTGGATAGCAAGCCGGCAGAACTGGTGGCCGCGTGCGAGGATCGCGGCATTTTGCTCTGAATACATATGACCATGGTCGGGTTTCTCCCGCCATACGTGCAGTAGATCTAGCCGTCACGCCCGCGGGGCGGTGTGACCGGAGGTGTGCTGACTGCCGTGGGACTGGCGTCGGCGCGGCGGGCGGGGCGCCGCGCGTTCACTGCACACCAGGTGACCACTGTCGCTGCGCGCATGTCGGTTGTGTACTGGCTACACTGCGCCCCCTACTGTAGAGCCCCCTGCGCCCCCCAATCTCTCAAGCATCCAAGGGCGCTGTGCTCAGTCCTCAGAAGACACTCCCCCCCCGGCAGGAGCAGGACGAGACCGATCAGACAGAGATCCACACACGGTGATTGGACTTTGGAGGTTGGTGCTGTATTGGTGGACGTGTACACACGACAGAAATCAAGGAAGCTGCGCCGGGGGGGAGGACGATTGTACTCCACTCTCTCTGTAGGACGATTGTACGGCGAGACCTCACTTCATAGTACGGTATGGCTACCGCCGTGCGTTCGCGGTCTCGTTCTCGCCGCGCGAGAAGGGCGTGCAGACGGCCCGCTGCAGCATCCAGACCTCAAAGTCGACGGCGGCGAGCTCGGACGGCCTCTCCTTGGTCTGCTGGTCCGAGTTGAGGCACACGCTGCCAAACTTGGCGCGGTGCGCCTCGACGGCCATCTCGCGCGTCGCGTCGGCGACGGGCTCGGCTCCGCGCTCCGCGCCGCGCAGCTCACCCACCATGCCCCCCCAGTCCTCGCGCCGGCGCTGCAGCTCCTGCTTGTGCTCGAGAGGCGCGCCCGGGTCAGGCACCGCCTCGAGGATCACCTTCGCGGCGCCGATGGCAGCCTCAATGTCGGACGCCTGAAGAGTGCACGCCTGCGTCGCCGCGCGGCCGCCTGCCTCCTTGTCGAACCCGATCCGCGACGCGCCGCTCGACCTACCGGGCGTGTCGGGGGGACATGTGCATGTGCATGTGCATGTTGTTGTTGTCTGGGGGTGTCATGGCCAGAGGGCTGCTCTCGGCCGTGGCGCGCGCCGCTGCAGCATCTTGACGTTGGTGCCGCCCTTGCCAATCAGCCGGCCGACCACATTGCGCGGCACCATCACGTAGCCGTGCACGTCGAGCTTCTGCGCCATCGCCAGCCGCTCCTCGATACGTTTGGCGGCGAGCGTGCACTGGTTCTCGAACTTGCCCCGGATGCGAAAGAAGCCCGTGGCGCCTCCCTCGCCGCCGCCGCCGCCGCCTTCGGAGGCGTCGCCGCCCACCTCGCCGCCGCCGCCGCCCTCGGCCGCCGCCGCCGCCGCCTCCTTGGCCGCCGCCGCTGCCTCCTCGGGCTCGACGTAATCTATGACCGCGCCCGACTCGCTGGCGATCTGCTTGATGCCTGCGCCGCCCTTGCCAATGATCGCGCCGACCCACTCGTCCGGGCAAGGCAGCTCGAGCACACCACCCCACGGCTCTGCGACGACAAGGCGCGCCGCGAGCGTCTCGCGCGCGCCGTCGCCGTCGCCGTCGACCAGGTCGTCGATCAGGCGCCGCGCGCTCGCCGTCGCCTCCTCTCCGCCGAGGACAGTCACGTGGCCCGTCGGAAGCAGCGAGAGCGTGGCGCCCGAATGCGCGGCGATCGCGTCCCACATGAGGTTGTCCTTGCCGGTCAGCGCCGCCTTCTTCTTCCCGATGCTCCGCACCAGCGGCTGCTCGCCGAGGCCCTCCGCCGCGCCCTCGAGCTTCGTGCGCCAGGTCGCCGCGCTCGAGCCGCGCTCGTCAAAGAGGTAGGCAGCGCCCTTGAAGTGGCAGATCTTGGAGCCGTTCTGCGCTGCCTCGGGCTCGCCCTCCTTCTTCGCCTTCTTGACCAGCACCGGCGTCGGCTCCAGCGTCATGATCTTGACCCACTCAGTGCCTGTGGGCAGTGCCGTCGCCAGGCCGCCGTCCACGAGGCCGAGCGTGCTGGCCGCGTAGGCGACCGCTCCCTTGCGCACGTCCTCGCCTCCGTCGGTGAAGACCTCCTCCCTGACGCCCATGGATGCGAGCTTCTCCTCCACCGGCTCCACAGCGGCTGCCGGTGTCGGCAGCTTTGCGGCCGGCGGTGCCTTTGCGGCCGGCTTTCCCGGTGCCACGGTGGACGTCGTGCTGAACATGGCCATCGCCTTTGCACGCCTGGCCGCGAGCTGCTCCGGGGTCTCCTTGGAGCCTCCACCCTTTTTCTTGGGCGCCATGTGGTCACCTTTTAGGAGAGTGCGGCGCGTGGCGCAAGCAAGGCTGAGGAGACCGTGGGTTCGCGCTCCTTGATGGTCGGGGCTCCCATCCCATTTTTCGCGCGCTTCCAGCCGTCCTATGGTCGTAGCTCGTCGAGCCGTTGCATGCGCCCAAGAAGAGAAGCATGGACTTACTCCGAACATACCTCCTTCCCGACGACCCCTAGTTAGCTATCGGCCTCCGCCTGCGCGTTCGCTGTGCCTCCGATCGCGGATCGCGTCGGTCGCCCGCAGCAGCTCGGCCATGAGGCCCGAGTCGTAGTGCGAGTGGCCGCCGGCCGGCACGACACGCAGCTCCATCTCCGGCCACGCCTCGTGAAGCTCGTACGCCGTCGACGGCGGGCAGATGATGTCGTTGCCGCCCTGCACGGCGATGCAGGGGATCCGGCGGAGGGACTCGCCTATTCACAGCCCGAGGTGGTGTGAAGAGACGCTGTTCACAGCTGCAGGGGATCCGGCGGAGGGACGCGCCGCCCGCGCGGACCAAGTCGAGCAGCTCGTCGTCGCTGGCGAAGAAGGCGCGCCGCTCGGAGAAGGTCGAGGTCAGCCGCGCCTGCACCGGCGCGTGGAGGTGGAGGGGCAGGGAGGCGAGGGAGGGAGGCAGGTGGAGGGAGGGAGGGGCAGGGAGGCAGGTGGAGGGAGGGAGGGAGGGAGGGAGGGAGGGAGGAAGTGCGGCGGGCGGAAGGAGGGAGGGAGGGAGGGAGGGAGAGGGAGAGTCGGCCGTGACGGATTCGCGCCTGCACCGGCACCCACCCGCCGCCAGAGGAGAGACTCGAGGAGGACGCGTTGCCTCGGCTCGCCGCCGCCGCAGCAGCCGCAACCGCCGCCGCGACGTCCGAGAGCGGCGTCAGGCCGTCCTCCGACGCGCCGCCCGGCACGTGCGCCTGCAGTCAACGGGGGCTCCGCCAGGTGAAGGGAGGAGCACTCGCGACACGCCGCCCCGGCGCGCGCCCACGCGCTGCCTCGATGGCTCGCTGGTAGAACTGGCGCGCCCTCTCGACGGCGCCGCCCACGCCCGCGCGGGGGGGCATCGGCAGCGCCGACTGCTGGCTGAGCGCGCACGCGATGTGCGCGCTGAAGCCGTCCTCGCTCAGAGCGGTGCGCACTGCCGCCTCGGGCGCAGGAGGATGGGGACGTCGGAGGGGGGATGGGATGTGGCACCGAGGAGGCGACTCTAGCCTCTTCACTCCTCTCCTCTCCCCTCTCCTCTCCTCTCCCCCCTCCCCTCCCCTCCCCTCCTCCCCTTCCCTCCCCTTCCCTCCCCTCCCCTCCCCTCCTCTGCTCTCTCCTTCTCCTCTCCTGTTGGCTCGCCTCGGGTAGCTCCACGCCGCCGCACTCCCACCGCGCCGACGAGGGAGACCAGGCCCACGTGGCGCGGAGGTCGGACGGCTGGTCGTCTGTGCGGGCAGAGAGAAGGGAGCTGTGAATGAACGGGGGGCGTGAAGAGCGGCTGGTGAGTGAGTGAGTGAGTGAGTGAGTGAGTGAGTGAGTGAGTGAGCGAGTGAGTGAGTGAGTGAGTGAGTGAGTGAGTGAGAGGAGAGAGAGGGAGGAGAGAGAGGGAGAGAGAGGGAGAGGGAGAGAGAGAGAGAGAGAGAGAGAGAGAGAGAGAGAGAGAGAGAGAGAGAGAGAAGGGGGGGGGGGGGCTAGAGAACGTAATCCCTTTTCTCCCAGTAAGCTAAACGTACGTACACCGAGAAAATCCGGTGCTCCAAGGGGGCAAATCTTTCACACCTGGTGCTTCATACAACCAACGTAGGTAGCTGGGACCTGAACTAAGTGGAAGTTGCGGAGAAAAGTTCGAACGCGTTCTCTCACGGTGACCAAAAAATGTCCACCTCAGAGGCACCTCCGGAGGCAGGCCGCCGCACGCCGGCGACACAGCTCCAGCTGTCGAACTGACCCGCAGCTCCTCTCAGAGCGGGAACTGTGACGAAAGTTGACTGTTAGACTGAGGCAACGTCAGGAATCATCTTACGACCGACATG